CGTCCCACATACCCATAAGATGCAACATAGTCAGAAGTCAATCATTTTTCACTTTTACATCTTCCGATCTCAATCCATCGTTCGCAGTAAACACAATTTAATTGAGGACCATGTTAAACAAGCTAAATATACACCGCGTAAAAATATGCATCAATGTAAAAGGACATTCATCAATTCTCACTCACACTGTAATCCCCTCCCCCTTTTTTTGAAAAATGGCATATTCATTGATGGAAAACAAATTCATCATGTTGTTCAATGCATTCGCATTTGATGGAATAGTACTAAAAGCATCGAACCCTTGACGACAACTTTCAATAACGCCTTGAAAATCGATGCCATTATCTTTTCTCCTTTCTTTTCAAAATTATAGTGCGTCATTTATATGCTTTATACATTTATCAACTCTTCCTCGTTTTTTATATACACATCACAATCGCATTTTCATCGCATAGCCATTGTCGATAAATTCCTTTTTACTATTTGCTTTTCATTCAATACTCTTTTTTTATTTGCCGCATCGATCGATTTGATTTTCAAAACGTTCAATTGCATTTATTGTGCACATGTTTTTAATGTCAATCGATTCAGAAATTTTTTGACACACACATATATATACGTCAAGATGTTCCTTGACGTCAATTGGCAACTACGAGTGCGTGTGACAGTTTGAAATGCAGATAATAAAAAAATACTATAAATGCAACATATCGAGCAATAGTCCGTGTCCACCATAAAACACTTTATCTATTGTTTGATTTTCGAATGAAAATTGCAAAATATGGCATTCAAATACAGTGGACCAGAAGGAATCCCTGTCTCACTTGAACTTTCATTGTGTGTCATTATTCTTGTTCAGCTGGACATAGATTTAAATTTGCGTAATGACTCAATTTACCTGCCAATATTATACGCTTTTATGACGGCACTCAACAGTTTTTGTTCGGTTATTGTCGTTGCTTTGGCATATTGTTCCATTTAAATTGACAGATTTTTCGACAGCCCACAGCGACACAATCGATGTTGTGCTTTTTTTGTGTCAATCAATATGGTGTCGCGAGTAACAAATTTTACCACGAATATAAAGAGAAAAGATTTCGAGTAGAGAAATTTGTTTCAACACGAAAATAAATTGGGTTTACAAACGTTTGTCGGGCAAACCGTATCGATTTTATGTCAAACAATTTTACCTGAAAAATTTAAGTTTGTTTAATTAAAGAGAAAATGATTTTCTCCGCGTAGGATGACGTATTTGGCACAGGGTATAATTGATCACTGTCAACTTTACGGTCAACTGTGAAAAGAAAATCGTGAAATTTAATTTTCGATGTTGAAACAATTTCTCTTTCGTTAAAATCTACTTAAATACGTAAAATATATAAAAAGTGCAAAATAATAATGATACTCGGCGTATTTGATTTCGTTAGTTACATATTTGATCATATCTGAATGAAAGTTTTGCATTAATTGTTTAAATTTGACGATATTCCCAGTGAATGTGTACATAGCTGTTTTTCTTGGATAAAAAACTTTCATACAAATCAAACTATGTTGAATTTTTGCGGGCGTGGAAAGTTTATACACCACCATGGTAAACGATTAACAAATGAGTTTGTTCAGCATGTGAAGCATTACTATGTCATTTGAAATAACTTAAAATCCAATATACCATCAGACAGCCAAATGAATAATTGATGCACATACCATAAACTAATACGTTGTATATTCACTGTATTTCGACTGTCGCTCATATAAGCTAGCTGCATATGCATTGCACTTTATGAAGAATGCATCTACAACATTTTCCAGACTATGAAATCGCACTCGCAAAACACTGTCCTTGCTCACAGAAAAATGCGCGGATATTTTAAATCCAGAAATCGGTTAAAATCAGAGCGTTGAGGACGATGTGATCAACACGAGTCATATGTATTGCAGCTGTTTCTATGTTGCAGTCAGAAATATATTTATCTGCCGTCATCTGGATATTTCAGCTCATCTGGATGCCGTCAGCAGATGATACGAATTGAAAACAATAGAAGTGATTGTTATAGTAATACCAGTATATAACAAGCTTATATACCTATAACAATCACTTCCATTGTTTTCACTTCGTATCATCTGCTGACGATATCCAGATGAGCTGTAATATCCAGATGACGGCAGCTAAATATATTGTCTGGTTGCAGTAGAAAGACGGCCAAAAACAGAAAAAAAAAACTCCCGATTCATTTTCTCGCTTTTCCGATGGAAAATTCCATATAAATACCGAAATTTTTCACTCCTTATTAGGGTGCACCGTGAGTTCTTGACTTTTGGAAAACTTTGGACGAATGATTTGAGCTGGAAGTAAATCTTGTGAAGCAGGTAGACAATTCATATTAGTATGTAGTGTCTGAGTTTTTTTTGTTTGTTCGCATTTTTTTCGCAGTTCAGAACGAACACGAATACGAATGTGGTCTTCAGACGATTCCATGCTCTGAAATTTCCTCTCTTTCTCTCGATGTGGTCTATTTACATTTTGTTCTTTCTTATTCTTGAACTCATTGTAAACCGTTGCCATTGTTTCGTCGTACAATGCATATATGCATCTAATTGAAAGTCCCAAGTTGCCATGAAATGGCTGCTGGTAATATACAATGACATATTTGGCAGTAAACACTCCCAGTCAATCGTTAACATTAGTCAAACATTTTCACGATTCGATGGCATTACTGTCGTTGGTGTAACGACTATGTTTCTGAGTTAACCGCATGCAGCTTTCTCTCTTGATTATTTACTTATATTTATACGTTTTCAATTTCAGGCACCTTTTCAACTGCGTCAGCGCTTTTTATTACTACCACATATTTCTGCATATTTTTATTATTTCTCCCACTCAATTTTAATGCTGCCAATGGGGAATTTTATTGTGATTGCTTTGTACGGTTAGTTATTATGCGTTTGCATTCTTGTTTTCTCCCCTTTTCACCATTTAAACACGCACACACACACGCAACAAAAATAGAAATATTTAATGCATTTGAAATGAGTCTAGGGATCACAAATTCAATGCACTCGAAGACAATATAGTTGTGGTGAACAAAAAAAAAAAAATCAATGGCAAAAGAATTCAGTCGTCCACCAACATCGAATGGAATTCATTTCACACGATGTTGATGATGTGTGCACCATCAACGAATTCGCATTTGTTGTATAAAAACGTAATCGTATTTAATATTTACGAAGTAAATGCATTTCACTGTTTGTAAGTTAGTGAATTCAGAATGAGCGAAGCAAGTCATAGAATGAGAAAAAGAGCACAATGAACATTGAACATTTTACCACTTTCCAGCAGCTGTAATTCAGTCTATGCTTAATAAATGAAAAGGAAACGAATAGAGAGAAAGAGAGAGAGAGAAAGAGAAAAGCAACAACAGAAAAGTTTTACAGTGATGAGGTAGCACAGTGCTTAACCAACTCAATAATTCATGAACATCGAGAGAATGAAAGAGCTTTTCACCTTTGTGCCCTCACCGCCATCAACTAATCCTGGCCGACAATTTTTTTTAGTTAAAATTTCCATCATTCGACACACACACGCGCGCGCTTATTTGATAAAAAGGTCGAACTCGATTTTATGTGTATGAGTGGCTGTGGGCCACATGCGAATGTGCTTTGAAATAAACCAAACGAAGAATGAAGCGACCAGTGAATTTCAAGTGATTCGATTCACCACAAATGAAAAATAACCACTACAACAACAACATTCATATCAAATTGAATGAACGAATGCGCTTATTAATGGTACGTACATTTGAATGAAACGAAATTAATCCGGATGATGCATTTAATGATTTTTCGTTTGATGGCGCAGAAAGTAAATAAAAACGGAAAATTTCATTTTGAAAGGCTGATATTGTCTGAATCGAACGCCAAATGTGTGTGGTTGCAATGTCAATGGTTCATTTAAAGGTTCATTTCTTTTTTTGAAAAAATACATTTTTTCTATCGTTGATATAAAAGAGAAAAGTAAAATGGTTCATAATTTCAAGAAATCATTTTTTTGTGTCAATAAGAAACCTAATTAAAAGAACAAAATGAAAATAACGAAACCAGGAGTCAATCGTTCACACTCATTTGCGGTTATTTTGTTTGTATCAATTTTCAATGTGAACGAAATTAATTTTCGTTAATAGGATTTGTGTCCATTTTTCTGGCACATCAGCAGATATACAGGAAAAAACAGAACAAGCGATGTACCATTGAAGCGGTTGCTGTCGCCGTAACACAACCAGACTTAAAACAGAAAAAGCTAGTATCCATTTCGTTGGAGTTTTGTATATATCTAAAATTTTCCAGGTTTTTATGTTTTTTTTTTAGCATTCGAACAGTCAGAATAATGTGAATGTGTGGAAACCATAAAGCCGTATACTTGCTAGAACCGTAACAAGATGGATGAGCAGAATATGCGTGCCAACTGATAAAAGATTATCAATAATTTACACCTTATTCATTACTTTCGTTCGTTCAAAACAAGCCGGAATGCCTTATTTAGACTTATATTGACGCAAGTCTTTGCTTGTCGCAATTTTTTTCTATTCATTAATTTCTCTTTCGATCAAAAAAAAAAAAAAAAAACTGCCTTGCTGTATCTGTCTGGCGGAATCGCCTGATAAGAGCAAAAAAATATGGCCAGCAAATGGTATCTTATAATACAAACACAGTATCAGCAAAGCCAGCTTGACAAATCATTAGCCATACATCTTCGCAAATTGTGCTCCATTGACATCAGAAGAAGAAAACAACGGTTAATTGTATATGTTTGTATGAGAAATGTTCGACCGACATAAAAAAAACATGCAGTAACTAAAGCAACGCACTTTCGATGATAAAACAACATTCAATTGCAAGTTTGTTTAGATGTTAGGAGAATTAGTTGCACAAAATCTTTTGAATTATTGATGAGAGTGAGCAAAAAAAAAACAAGAAAAAATCATTAGGAGAATGGCACCTGTCACCTTTCTCGGATACCGTGCTCATCGGATCGCTGCTATGCGATCGAGCATTCACTTTGGTTGCGTCCTTTGATTTTGACATTTTAAATAAACCAAATGAATGGGGTCGCTTTGGGGTTTCACTATCAAATGGATTCGATTCAATTTGTGGCGTTACCGGTGTTCGATATTCAAGCTTATAAACTGGTTCACCTGATTCAAAAAACGCATCATAGTTTCGTGCCAATATATTTTCACGCGTAAATGTTGGATTTGCGATACGAATCTCGGTAATGTCACGCAATCGTGCCGGTTCGGGTGGTGTTGCTTGCTTTGATCGGCCCAATCGACCTAAACTGATATGAAGCCGGCTCTTTGTTTTGCCCGGCGGTTTACCGTTGCTCGTTTGAGGTTGTTGTTGGACAGCGCTCGAAGTTGAAGGACCTAGGGATAGGCTAGTGGGGAGTATGGATGTTTGTCTTGATAGAGCTAAGGTACTGCTTTGATTGTCAACAAAGCCCGGTCGATAGAATGATGGCTCTGTTGAATCCTTGCTGTAGCCGAAGATGTCGGTGGATTCCTTTTTCTTTTTGATAGGTTTTTGTTTCGATGTGCTTGGAGATGGTTGTGCTTCTTGTTTGTTGTTCGCATTGGAGTTTGAAGAATAGGATTGGCGATTGGATGTTGGGTTTTGTGGTAGGGGTTTTTGTAGGTTTGGTGGTGGATTTTTTGGTAAGTTTTGTGATGGGATTTTTGGTGGGTTTGGTGGTGGGTTTTTTGGTAGGTTTTGTGGTGGATTTTTTGGTAGGTTTGGTGGTGGGTTTTTTGGTGGATTTTTTGGTAGGTTTTGTGGTGGATTTTGGGTAGTTTTTCGGTTGGGTAAGGTATCGAAAGGGACTAGTGGCTCGCGCAAGTTATCCAGAGTTGGTCGTGGTTTAAATCGTGGTATTGCAGCACCGTATGTCATATATATTAGTTCATCAGCTGGAAATATCACGTACATTTGCCCACACAATTCATTGCGACGGGCTTCGAGTTATACATACACCAAAAATTATCTCACACCGCGTTCGTTTTTTACTTACTTTCTTTCTTTTATTTGTATGTCCGTGCTTTTGTTTTGTCCTTTAACACTTTTCTTCCAGTCAAAATTATATCATCAGTTTTTCTGTTTTGTTTTGATTTGTTTTGTGTTCAACAGTTTGGATCGTTGCAATAAAATTAACTTCGATTTAACGGAATCGACTAAAATGCAATTTGTTCCTTCGCGTGCAAAACTAATTGAATAACTTAATTCTTTAAAATTTACAACGAAAAATTAATCGTATAAAATCACAATATTTTCAGTAGGTTCGTGAATTGTATTGGACGAATTTTACACCTAACTCGATAGATAACTTAATTTATTTGCGATATTTCCCAACGAAACTAGAAAAAAATAAATATTCATTGTATCTTATTCATTTACGTACTTGATAACTTTGTTTGAAAAATACACCATCTAGATGATTACGGAAATTAAAAAAAAATAATCCGACGCGGACCGTTCGCCTACATTGTGTCACATCGTCATTCGATCCATTTCAGCCATTTGAATACAAACGATTCCGCGGATTATTTCATCTGCAATGAAAAGAGAAAATACACGAAACGAATTAGAAATAATGTTTGCATAAGCACATTATTCATTGAAGAGATTTTCACACACACACACACACACACACACACACACACACACACACACACACACACACACACACACACACACACACACACACAAAAACTTAGACGTCGTCATTTAACATGAATATTATATTTCTTTCCGCTTTTTAAAACTTCAAATTAAAATTGTGTACATTGATAATGTCAAATCATTTATCAAATTATAATATTTCGTAAATTTAATTGACATTCGCGCACGATAACTTTTTACAAGTAAATAATCGTCTTTTGCTATATGAAAAATGTATGTGCTCACGCTCTTTTAATAATCACGATAATTTGCAAAATGTATATGATAGAAAATGTGATCAATTTCCACATTTTTCATATTTAATTATGCAGAGAATCATCGATTTTACAGTGAATACTAAGAAAATCCTGTACAAAATGCGAGATACATCATTTTTTTTCTGTGCCATGTTGATTCATCCAGACATTTATTACTATGACAGTTTTGAGTGATAACAAATTAAGAGAGTAATGTACCTTAATGGGTAATATGTAAATGACATTGATTCATCAATTCGATGTTTATTTGCACATATTTTCAGAAGAAAAAAGATAAAATTTACGATACAAATAATTTTCATCCATAAAATCCATTGACAATGTCCACAAATCCACTCGAATAATAAAAATATGATGAAGAAACATCAAGAAAAAAAAAACAGATCAAATAAGAATATTTTTGAAAAACAATTGAAAATATATATCTATTTCATTGTTAACATGTAATTAAATACAATAACTGCGCAGTTTTCAATTTAATTCAATTCATTCGTGTGATATTGGATGATTTCGCGCAATTTTTTAAAAATAGAACTTGGAAAGATTTCTTATCTCGTTTAACATTATGCTTCAAGTACTGTTGTAATGCCGATTTACATAAAAAAAAGAAGTTCTTGCAACCGATGCGAAACATTTTCTGTTCGCTGCTCTTTTTTCGCTTCCAATATAATGATAGACCGACACAATATTTTTTAAGCTCATTTAAAGATTAGTTGATTTTTTGTTTATATTTTGAATGGAAAATGGTAATGGGGCGAACAATTTTAATGCATTATTTGCTCTTTTGCTCTCTAGGTATCATTTTAAGAGCATTAAATTCGTGTTTCAGCCACCTTTTTTCATTTGCCGACACAACCTATTTGCTAACATTTTTTAAATGTGATGTTTTTTCATCCAATTCTATATTATTTACTTTTGTGATATGTTATTCCAATTAAATACAAAGAGATTGAGATTCGCATCCAATAATATGGAATTTACTTTTATGAAAATGCAAAAATCAAACTCGTGGACACTTTTGGTTTGCTTTATGCCATAAATTGCAGTCGCTTTCTCTTTCTATGTCGTTCTGTGGTTGCTATCAATCTTTGCTATTTGAGTGTATACCTATTTTTGGAATTTAGCTTTTCAACCTTCAGGCTACATTTGTTTTTCGTTCGTCTGCGATAAATTATGCATACCGATCGCATCGTTGAATCAATACGGATTGTCATAAGGGGACGATGCTTGGCATCATCGAAAAAACAACCATATATCTACTGTGATATAGTTATGAGCATGTGTGTATGTATTTTTGTGACAAATATGATGCGTTTTCTGTGAAAAGCATGTGATGTATTACATGGATGAGGGAAACAGAGTTAAACAGAAAACCGTGTGGTTCGCTTTGGTACTTGATTCGACTGAATATTTAATACATTTATTGCAGTCATTCGACGGCTTGTGAATATTTTTAATGAAATTGAGCATGGCGTTGAGCGCGAAAAAGCAACCGAATGTTAAAGCGAGAGAGAGACAGAGAGATCGGTGGTGGTAGAAAAGAGACAACGAGAGAAAAAGCAAATAGCAACAAGGTATATTTATGTTGTTGTTCAACGTACCACAATATATTGACTAATTTGACTTTTTCCCTGACCCCGTACGATGAACATAATTTCATGCGAAATGCCAATTTGTCTGCCATGTATCTTATATTTTGTCCTTTAGAGACAAAATATTTCATAAAATTGCTTGGATACACCAAACGCTACGTTGCACTATTATCCGGTTTAAAAAAAGCCAATATGCATTGCGCGCCTTATTTTTCCACGTGGTTTGCTCTATTTACCACACACACACATAAATGAAAATAATTCAACAGATAATTTGTATAACGCCAAAGAATTTATCTTTTAGTGCAAGCAAAAGCCTACCTTTTGCTTCGTACATGAATTTCACAATTTCACCATCAAAAACCGCATTTATTTAAAAGCTGTTGTCGAACAAAACGACGTAAAAAAATCAATTATGCACCATCACGCACCGACTGATAACAAATTTAAAAAAAGAGCGAGAGAAGCCAAAAGCAGCAATCTTATGGCATTGAATAAATAATGTTTGGTGGTTGTGCAACATGAGAATTTCATGACGCATTTCTAACGAACACACGTCATTTATACATTGTTATTGAAATATTTTTACGTTGTTTGTACAAATTGAATGACGTACTCAATGTAAGTTGCTTAGCACTTTGTTTAAATCAAACATTTGTTTATTGCATGTTGTATTTTATACTGTTTTCTCTCTATATATCAATCCAAATGTAAGCATGATTCAAAATTTGGCATGTAGTTGATGTGTTTCAATAACAAAATGCCAATTAAAAATCACACTTCTAAAATGTTTAGAAAATTGATCTAAAATGGTGTAAATTGTAAGCATAGCTGGCAGACTGAAAGATTCAGAAAGGGGATTGGGGGGGGGGAGGTAAATTTCTCAAAAACTCCTAGCAAAATAGGAAAATTTCATCTATGATCCAAAAACCATATCAAAATGAGAAAAATTCTTTCCAAAATCATGAATTTTGTAAAGGGGTAACGCAAAAATTTGATGCCCAGGAGGGGGTAATCCCCCCCCTCCCCCCTGTCTGCTCAGCTATGATTGTAAGCGATTTTTGAGTCCCATCTGAATATATCTAAGGATCATAATCATGTTTATTTGATTAATTGAAAAATACAACCATTGTGTGTGTGTGTATATCTTTTATTATAATAAAGGTAAAATTGAACTCAATGATAAAGTTTTCGAATCAGATCAAATTTCAATAATGTCATTCATTCATATAAATGCATAATGGATCGAAGTATGTGCGCATCATAAAGGTAAATAATAGCCAATGGGCTGTGAAAATGATTTTGCAAATATAGAGGTAAAATTCAATTTAATTTCATTCAAAATGGATAATAAAATGTAGGTTCCGACGTGTAAGCGAAAGTGAAATGTTTATAGATAAAATTAAAAAAAAAATTGTTTAATTTTCAAAAGATAAATATTAAGTGGTTCCGCATAAATTCTACCCTTGTGTTTGATTCGCAAGCGAGATAGTAGACGAAAAAGAACGACCTCCGAATGGTTTGGCTTCAATTAAGATAACCGAAGGTGAAGTGCGTGCTTGTTATTGATAACCATAATAATGAACGATACAAAGATTCAAGCCCGTATCATCACCGATATAAAGTGGCAACAAAATGAGATAGCAATTTTTGTTGATGTTGCACCGTATACGGCTATCTAAAGTAGAAAATCTAACACAATGAAAACTACATTATGCAAATAGAAAAGTATGTGCTTCCGTGTATATATCCACATTAGTGGCACGCTTCAGCAGAAAATACCAAACAGTTTTGAGCATCCAAACAATCGCTTCGAAATACGATACAACCACTCACACTGCACGTCAAACGTACACGAACAACAACAAAAAAGAAAGTGCGGTGGATAGACGAGAAAAGAAGAAAGGAATGAATGAAATCTCGGTATTTGAGCGCAAATTCGAATGGATGTTCATTGAATGGAAAACAAAATTATGTGCACAATGGATTTTTTAAATCTTTTACTTTCCGCACATGTTCTTCATGTGATACACAAAAACACACGCCGAGAGATAGAAAGAGAGAAACCGGAGCGGCGCAACCTGTTTGCCATTCATTTTAAATGGAGATATGATAGCGCCGAATGGACAATATTTACTGTGAATTTTCACCATTGCTCTACCATCATCCGATGTTTGTTCGCCATTTGAGCCACTTAGTAATCGGTTGTCATTTGAAGCCATTGGAGCCATCGTATGTGCACAACGCGTTCTCAAATTTCACATGAGTACACAATGTGTTTGTATTTCATATAACAACGTGGTCGTATACCGTTTCGTAATAAATAGTAATAAAATGTATAAGCAAATCGTGTTTTACACATAAAATAAACAACGTTTTCTGACTCGAACAAAAGCGAAAAAAAAGAAAATACAATACTAGTGAAACCATACCACGCAACGGTCGCATATGCTTTCAATTTAATCGAAGTTCGATCAGAGAATGAATGTCTGCAACAACAAAAAACCGATTCACTAGCTCTGCACTACCGACTGCACTTTTCATTCGATTGAATTACACACGTGTATGTGTTGAATTTGTTGATTTCATTTTGATACGGGAAATCCTTTGCAGAAAATGTCATCTGTCTTCCTTTTTTCAGCCTCGATTTAATTAATCTGTAATACCAACTAAATTTTCCAACTTGAATGATTTTTTCTTTTACATTGGATTTTACTTTGACGTTAAGCCATCATTTTCCAAAACACTGTTGATCGCATTCAGAGAATTCATTTCAATGAATGAAACTAAATTAAATTTGCAAAATTTTTACTACTTTATAAACTAAAATCGTTTACAGTTTGTAAAAAGTGGTCGTTGTAGTGTGCGTTTGAAATGAAACTCATTTAAATGGACAGTAAACTTCGTCATTTCAAAGACTGGTTGATTAAAACCAAATTTTTTCCATCTGATTACCATATGGGAACAGTTGGAACAGCTCATTCTTCGAAATCAAAATTCAAAAAAAATCTATTTTGCAGA